GTTTCAAAGCATAGTCAAACAATACTCAAACAGAATCAACACATAACACACCAAACAAATCGTCTCCATACGATTTCTCTTACCATGCTTGAATATTCCTCCTGTAGGAAAATGCCCGACTTAACCCTAAGCCTCTCACGCCCTCCTTGGACGCCCCCGACAGCAGGAGGGCGCACATGACACACCCATGCTTGCGCCGAGATCCCAACCAAGGCAAATAGGCCCTCACTTCGGGGGTCACGGCTTGGACGCCCAGAATGGGTACGGACAGAACGGGTACACCCTGCGAAATGCTTAAGAGACCATGGGTTAAGAAATTCATAGTCTCAGATTTTGAATAAAAGCCCAGAACTTGTATTAAAAGCTTAGGACTTACATTGAAGCATTAAGAATAATCGAGACGCTGGCCGAAAACGTAAGTTGTCTTAAGTATCGCCTAGGGTGTACGATGCCCAACAACGAATGCTGTCCAAAACCGACAGCGGCCGCTCTCGGGCAGGCGAGCCTGTGTCTCAGATGGGCAGCGCCCACGGCGATCCCGACGGGAGCCCCGTGCGGCATTAACAAGACATGCTGCCTGTCGTCGTACAGTCGGGGCCTTGAACTAAGGAACCCAAAATAAGGAACGAGGCCTCTTTTTTCCATAAATTGAACTTCGATTTCCGATCGAAAACATACGGAAAACCTGAGGCAAGCTGCGAAACACTTAAGGAACACGGAGCCCCTCCCCAACGAAAAGGGTTCCTTCTTCAAGGCCCCGACTGTAGCCTTTCCTTCCGTGCCCATCTCGATCGTCCCGACACGGGGCGGCGGCACCTCTTCCTCTTCGCTCATTCCAAAGCCCTCCTCCACGTTCTCTCCTCTTCCGCAGAGCCTGAAGCACGCCATGTTGGCCGACTGATCTCGCTGCTACTTACGAACATCGTTTAACCGATCCCCATTCCCACTGGCGTGGCCCGGGCTTTACCCCCCCTACATGTGGGGATCTGTCGAGTGAGTTTCGAGGGGAGCTTCCTTGACTGGGGTGGAAAGATGGTGGGAATCGGGATGGAGAACGAGCAGGAAGCGGAGAAACGAGGACGGCCCGAGAACAAATGGGCGCGGATGAGGGGGGCTGGAGCTACCCTCCGCTCCTCCTGCTCCTCCCTGCTCCTCCTGCTCCTCCTCCTCCTGCTCCTCCTCCTCCTGCTCCTGCTCCTCGTCCTCCTCGTCCTCCTCGTCCTCCTTCGGTTCCCCCCTTCTCTTTGAGCCCTTCCTTCCTCCCTTTCACTCCAGCCCTCCTCTTCCTCCCCCTCCCTCCTCCCCGTGCCCTCCGCCCTCCTCCCGTAGTCCTTATCCGTCGGCCACCATCCTCATGATCTGAGAGATCTCCCGCCCCCTCCGCGTGCTTCTCTCAATGAGCGGGGGACGGCTGCAAAAGGGGCGCAGTGGACAGGGATCGCGCCCAGCACGGCGGCGAACTACGTTCCACGCACCCTGCTCCTCTCGCGCGCCCACCTTCCTCGAGAGTAGAGGGGTCCAGGCACACACAAAGAAAGAGACAGACATCCCAGAATCCCCAACATTTTTCTATGTGTTCTGGATGTTCGCCATCCCCTTCACTTCCCGTGCTTTCCCCTATGCTCCTGCGAATCGACGTTTAGCTGTGTCTGTGTGCGTGTTTCCCCTCGTGACTTACGGGCCCACCTTCCGCAAGTGTGGCGGCTGGAAGGCACCAACTGAGGATCAAGCCTCACTTCGGATGCTGGCGTTGCGCTGCATGCTCAAGCCAAACCCGCCCACGGCCCCTGCCCCACCCACAGAGCGCTGGTGGCGGTCGTCTCCCCCCTCAGGTCAAGAAGCAAAAACTGCGTAATCTGCCGACCCCCGCTTGACAGAGGTGAGAAGGCGTGTGAAATGATTTGCAAGCCCCCTCCCCCTGTCCCCCTCCCCCAAGGTCCAACACCTCGTTCAAGGGAGGGCGGTGTATCCGGGCTTCCTGGCGCACCACCGGGGACTCCTGAGCTTTGAAATTAGCCTTCCATGGCCTCAAAGACGTTCCAAGACGGTCCCGAATCGCCGAACGATTGGGCCAAAACGCCTACGATGGCTCCAAGACGCCCAAGACGCCTTTGAGACGCCCCCAGAGTCTTCCCAAGAGGGCCCCGCGAGACAAATTATCAATTGTCTTCCATAGGCTTTTCGTTGTCTCTGGGTTTATCGTCTTCTCCATCTTCCGACGCTCCAAGACGGCCTAAAAAGCCGCGTAGACCGCCCCAAAACTGCCCAAGAGGCTCCTACAAAGGCCCTAAGGCGGCCCAAGAGGGTTCCAAGACGGGCCAAAAAGGGGCCCAAGACGGCCAAAGATCGCCACAAGAAGGCCCCAAGAGAGGCCAAGAGGGAGAACACGAACCGAACATCTTATCTTCCCGCCCCAACAAGCCCCCCAAAGGCCCTGAGAAGCCCCAAAGCGGCCCACAAGAGACCCCAATACGCCCCAGGAGGCCCAGAAAAGGCCCCAAACGGCCCCCTGAACGCTTCGAAACTGGCCCCCAACCAAGATGCCCACAATTCCCCAGATAGTGCCAAAGAAGCCCACGACGCCTCGACCGTGGACTCCCCCGCCTCTTCTGGGGGTCAGTGGAATAGGCCCCTTGACTAGAAACACAAACTGCGTAAACTTTAGGATCCCCCCCGGCGGTGCCTCCAACGCCGCCCCTGGCGCGCTCCGCGCGAGGGAGGGATGCCCAGCGCCAGCCCCCAAAACCCGCGCGGGGGGTTACCCAAAACCCCAAACCCGGCGCCGATCCCAAACCCCCATGAGCGCAGACAGGGTGTGTTTCTGCAGCTGGGGTCCGAACGGGGTCCCGAATGGATGGGGTCCCGAAGGGGGGGGCAGCGGGCTTCAGAGGCATCCCGAACGGGGTCCGAATAGATGGGGTCGAGGGGTCGCTCCGTATCGGCGATGCACCGCCGATGCATCGGCGACGTCGACGTGGAGAAGATCGGGCCCCACATCGGGCCGCATCGGCGACGCGTCGGAGGTGTGGAGCATTCCATCGACTCCATCTACTATTAAGTCGGGCCTGTCCCCCTTCAGGCAGATGTTAAACGGCACATTTAAAATAATACTCTACAAATGCACCAGAATGGCCAACAAATACTAAAACAATAGTCCCCTGACTATTTCTCTTTCTAGGCTCTGCCTACAAGGGTTCTTACTCTCGTGGCTTAAAGGGGCCGGGCAGTGTAATGTGCCCCGGGCGGTTCCCCCAGGATCCGCCCCGCGGTTCCCCCAGTTGCGTCCCCTTAGCTTAGCGTTGCGCAGCGCTGCATTAGCATAGCATAGCATAACATAGCCAATCATAGCATAGCATAGCATAGCATAGCATAGCGCAGCATAGCATAGCATAGCATAGCATCACATAGCCAAGCATAGCCAAGCGCAGCATAGCATAGCATAGCATAGCATAGCTTAGCATAGCGTAGCATAGTATAGCATAGCGCAGCTTAGCATAGCATAGCACAGCTTAGCATAGCACAGCGCAGCATGACATAGCATAACTTAGCTTAGCTTAGCATAACATAGCGGAGCATATCCTAGCATAGCATAGCATAACATAGCATAGCGCAGCATAGCATGGCCTGGCCTGGCATGGCATAGCAACTAAAGCTGCTTTCCCAGGGGCTCCAACTTCTAGGTAGGGTCGCACTGGGGTAATTTTTACTATTTTTGAATATTCCTTCTGTAGAGGGACAAACCCGACTTAAATCTACTACTCGGACCCCATCTGGGAGGCCGAGAAGCTTACTGCTCGAACACGGGGAACGGACCTCCGAAGCATCATGCTAGGGGGGCCCAGGGACACACAGATAAATAGACCCAAATCCGAGGATTCCCGATCTTTTCCCCACTTCCCATGTTTTCCGGGTAATCGACGATTAAGTGTATCTGCGTGTTTCTCCCTCCCGCCATGTTTATCCAACTTACATGTCGACATGCGGAAACCCAAATGTGCCGATGCCGCTACTCTCCGGACCTCTCATGGGTTGCGATCTGACCAGAATGTCGAAGCGAATCCAGCGGTGGCGACGAGGGCCTCCCAGGAGGCCCAGGGGAAACGAAAACGATGCGCAAGGGCAGCAGTGTCGGTACCTTTTTCCTCCTCTGAAGGAAAAGAGTGGCAGAGCACCTTGACCGCCACCACAAATGGGTCTCTGCAGATTTGGCGGCGCGCCCTAAAGGGGTGGAACGAGCGGGGAGGGCTTCTTAGAAGGAGGCTGCTTCTTAGAAGGCGCACATCTGTAGATAAGGCCCGCGACTTCTAAGAAGCAGGGGTGCTTCTAAAAATCCCTCCCCCCTCCCCCCACCGCACTCTGCGCGTGGCTGATAGATGGGCTTGAAGGATCGCTCCGCCTCGCCGATGCACCTTTGATGGCGGCGTGGAGAAAGTCGGGCTGTACATCCGGCCGCATCGCCGCTTCATCGGATATGCGGAGCGATCCTTTGACCCCATCAGCTCGGACCCCATCTGGGAGTCCCAGAGACCTCCTTAGAAGAAGAAGAAGAAGAAGAAGAAGAGAAAGAAAAAGGAGAAGAACAATGAGAAGAAACACAAACGCCATAAACATAAACTTTTTGCGCTCTGCGCGGATTTCTTGGACCTGCGCTGGACCCCCTTCCCTGGCGCGCGGAGCGTGCCAGGGGCGGCGCCGAAGGCGCCGCCAGGGTGGGGGGCGCCCAACGGAGATCCGAGAAGTCCGCTCGGAGCGCCAAAAGTTTCTGTTTATGGTGTTTTTTCTTCTTCAATTGCAGTGGATGCCAGTCCAAAAGAAACCTCCCACAAGAAACCTCACCCTGAGGCCCCAGGACGTCCATGGGTTCTTGGCGTGGGAACGTCACGCCTTCCACAACAAAACCATCGAAACCGAAGAAACCCGGAGCACCCTGGAGGCAAACAGGGGGCTTCTTGGCATGGGCCTCCACTGTACTACTCGAAGCAAGAGGGGGGCGGGAGCACCCTGTCCGCCATCACCACATTCTCCTCGCCCATCGGGGCGGGGAGGCGGCGGCCCCCCGACTGCCGCTGCTGAGCCGGGGCAGCGTCAAGTATCTGTGTGTTCGCATGCATCGAAATGGGGCCCAGGGACACACGAAGAAATAGACGAAAATCCCAGGATGCCCAATCTATTCCCATCTGTTCTGGGTTCTCGTTTTCCCCCCACTTCCCGTATGTTCCCATATTTTCGCGGGAGTCGCCGATTTATTGTGTCTGTGTGTTTCTCCCCCATCGAGAGTATCGCACTGGAGCCGGGCAACATGGCCACTGCAGCGCGTGACTGTACATGCGTTGCATCAATCGCCGCAGGTGTGTATGCATGCGTGCGTACAGGTATATGTGTATATATAAATATATTTGTCAAGACGCACACCTTTGTAACTTTTATGTTTGAATGCATCTCAGAGTGAGGGGGCAGAAAGGTCATTCACTGTCCCTGGGCGCGTGGCTGAAGTGAGGTTCTGCGGTGCGAATTATTCATATTGTTGTTGGTGGTGGTGGTGGTGGCTGTTTGTTGTCATCGTCCCCCCCGAGACCCGGCCCGCGACCCACCCGCGACCCACCCACGCCCCACCCCGCGACCCGCCCGCGACCCACCCTCGATCCACCCGCGACTCACCCGCCACCCACCCGCGACCCACCCGCGACCTGGCCCGCGATCCACCCGCGACCTGGCCCGCGACCCGCGACCCACCCGCGACGCACCCGCGAACCACCCACATTGCTTTAACGAAAAACACGCGCGCCTGCGGCGGGCACGTTGTGTAATTGTGAAAAATTAAACGCCTGCGGCGGGCTTCTTGAGAGCCCCGCAGACTGCCGACCTGCCGCCCTCCCACTCTCCGCAGAGAGAGAGAGGGAGAGAAAGAGCATGTATGTATGCATGCATGCATGTATGCATGGGTGTGAATATATATATATATATATAATTATAGATAATTATATGTATGTATGTCTGTCTGTCTGTCTGTCTGTCTGTATGTCTGTCTGTATGCATGTTTGTATGTATGTCTACGTATAGATTGTTTGAGGTCGGCGAACTAACCCTCCAATGTCTCTTCTGCTCCTCCGGGCTCCTCCGTCCTCGCCTGGCTGCCGTGGAGCTGGCCTCCCGTCGCTCCTGAGGTGGCGCCCTCTTGAGATACTGAGCTTCAGCCTCCAGGGCACAGCCCACCGGCATTGCGGGGCGTCCTGCATAATCTCATTGGCATCTGCAGAAGGAGGAAGAGGAAATGGGAGATGGGAATACGAGGGAAGAGGAGGAGAAGGAGGGCAGGGCCATTGTCTGGCTGGCGTAGCGACTCGACGAGGACAGGGAACGAGCTCCTGCCTGTTGCGCCACCGTCAGGGAGCGGCGAGGGAGCGAGGTGGAGGAGGAGGCATGAGGAGGTGGAGGAGGAGGTATGAGGAGGAGGAGGAGGAGGAGGAGGAGGAGGAGGAGGAGGAGGAGGAGGAGGAGGAGGAGGAGGAGGAGGTATGAGGAGGAGGAGGAGGAGGAGGAGGAGGAGGAGGAGGAGGAGGACGAGGAGGAGGGACGGAGGGTGCGAGAGGAGGAGGAGGAGGAGGAGGAGGAGGAGGAGGACGAGGAGGAGGGACGGAGGGTGCGAGGGGGGAGGAAGGAGGAGGAGGAGGAGGAGGAGGAGGAGGAGGAGGGGAGGAGGAGGAGGAGGAGCAGGAGGAGGGAGGAGGAGGAGGAGGAGGAGGAGGAGGAGGAGGAGGAGGAGGAGGAGGAGGAGGAGGAGGAGGAGGCTGGCGGCGAGGACGGGGCCGACGCGGCGCGAGGGCGAGGAGGGCGCGGGGAGGAGCGGGGAGGCGAGGAGGCGCAGGAGGAGCAGCGGAAGGGGGGCGAAGCGGCGCGGGGCGGGGCGAGCGAGCCGGGGCGTGTTCGCGCGCGCGCGGGCCCCCGCCTGCGGCTTCCAGAACCACGCGCAGGGCCTCGGGCGCCCGGGCGCACCGGGAGAGCCGCGGCGGGCCGCCGGGGGGAGGAGGGCGGGGCGGGGAGGAGGGGGGGGTGAGGAGGAGGAGGAGAGGAGGAGGAGGAGGAGGAGGAGGAGGAGGAGGAGGAGGAGAAGGAGGAGGAGGAGGAGGAGGAGGAGGAGGAGGGACGGAGGGAGCGAGGGGGGGGGAGGAGGAGGAGGAGGAGGAGAAGGAGGAGGGGGAGGAGGAGGAGGAGGAGGAGGAGGAGGAGGAGGAGGAGGAGGAGGAGAAGGAGGAGGGGGAGGAGGGGGAGGAATATATGACGTTCTGCCCCCCCCTCCCATCCCATCCCTTACCATGGCGCAGGTCTCCTCGCCTCGCTATTCGCACCGTCGGATATCGTAGCGAGGCGTAGCACTAGATGGCATAGCCTGGTGTTGAAGATCAACGCGTAGCCTGACATACCATGGCGTGGCGACGCCCCAAAGTGGGGGAGGGTTCTGCGGCCCAACAGATCAATGAATCGACACCGGAAGTGGAATCACTTCCGATGGTTGTTTCGGGAGCCATTTCCTAGATTTTGGAGCTTATTTGGCAGGACCGACAACCATACCGTGGCATGGCGCTGGAAATAATGACGCCAACGCTGCAGCGGGAGCACGATTCGGAACGAGCGGAAGCGCGGAAATGAGGCCAACGCTGCAGCGGGAGCACAATTCGGAGGATGCGTAGCCTGACATCGCATGGCGTGGCGACGCCCCCAAATCGGGGGGGGGGCTTCTGCGACCCAACAAAACAACAAAAACCGGCACCGGATGTGTAATCATTTCCGATGGCTTTTTCGGGGGGCCATTTTCTAAATTTTGGAGCCGATTTGGCAGGACCGAAAACCATGCCGTGGATTCGGAACGAGCGGAAGTGCGGAAATGAGACCAGCGTTGCAGCGGGAGCACGATTCCGAACGAGCGGTAGCTGAAAATGAGGTCAACGCTTCAGCGAGAATAACATTTGGAACAAACAAGCAAAAACCCAACTCCCGGTAACCCGGTGTAAAACACCAATACGCGGAGGGGGCCGAATATTTCACGGACGTCATCAGGGGAGAGAGGAGAGTAGTATTCATAGTGTGTAGTTGTAGAGGGGAGGGGGAGGGGTGGAGGAGAGGGTTGCTGCGCTGTGGGCACCAGCACGGCGGACTCCTGCGGGGCCGACGGGCTGGAGAAGCGAGGGGAGACCTCACACGACACGGTGCAATTGGTAGTCGAAGCAGGGACTTTATTGTCTGCACAAATATACCCTTTGCCTCTGTGGATGGCCAAGACTGCTGGGGATCAACCCGACCAACGTCCCTCTCCCCGACCAAGCGGAGGCCGAAAGCCGTCACGCATTCAGCACCGTGCAGGATTAGTTAGTAAGTCAATCAACAGCCGATCGCCACGCCGTCGAGCCCGATGCCACAACTATTGCGAGGCAGGAGTTTACCCGTGACCACCGCCTGGGGGATAATCGGGGTCCTCGACAGGCGTTGGATACGTAGATGCATCTCCAACAAAAACCAAACCCAACCCCAGAGCCAGAATATTCACAACCACTGCCTGCCGAGATGCCCGAAGGTAGATCCTCCAGGTGGTGGTTGTGGGATTAAGCCCCGCCTCAGAGCGATCCCAGCGTCCAAGACAGGATCAGTCAGCATCCAATCGGGAAGCCGGATCGAATTGGAACGTGCATCGAATCGGTTCGAATCGGTGGAATCGAATCGGTTTGGCCGCGCCAGGAGGGACAACAGCGCCATGCAAGCATCTGTCCACATCGGATCCCCTGGAAATCGGACTCGAATTGGCTGGGGCCAGACGGAATCGATATCGAATAAGATCCGATCGGATCGAAAAGGAGCCTGTCCGAGGACGCTAGGCCATTGGCTCGCACATCCCGTTGCCATGGCCCAGCGAGCCCCTGGAGAGCACGCCCGTCCCGCAGCGATCCGGAAGCGCCCTCACCACCGGCTGCTCCGCGTCGCAAGAGACGTAGCCGGCGATGCTAGTGGCCCGGCACAGGGCACCGCCACCCACCTCGCGTCAGGAAGAGGAGGTGAGAGACAACGACCAGGGGGCACAGGCTCAGAGGGGAACATCGAGCTGGAGCTGGCGATACATCGCCGATAGATCGCCGATAGGCCGCGGATAGCGAAACCGCACGTTCCTGAGCGGGAGTGGGCTCTCGGGCCCCTTTCGGCGATGAATGAGCGTTTCGGGGTCGATGCATCCCCCCCTGAGCCTATCCCCCCCTGACGTTGCCCCCATGTGGACGTGGGGGGTGGGCGATTGCACGTGCGCGCGCACGACCCAGGCCCCGACGTCAGATCTTTGCACCACGTGGACCCCTGCAGGCCTGGATCCGCTGGTCGTCCCAGGTCGTTCGTTGACGGCCCCGAGGCCCGGCGAGGGCCCCAGCGGCCGAACATCATAAGCAAAAACGTCCGTCGTGTTTTCGGGACGGGCATGATGCCATCACGAGGCCGGCTCGTGGTACCTGCCAGGATTCACGGTTAGGTCGGGCATGCCCCCTAATTATACAGGCGGATTTTGGACGAAGAATGGTCACGACGAACAAACATTCCAGCTTATGAGTATTCCTCCTGTAGAGGGACATGCCCGACGTGACTTTGCGAAGTATCCCGCGGCCCTCGTTTTGTGCAGTCCCCGTGGGACACAGAGGCGCGGCGCAGCGAGCGGCACGCCGAGAGGAGTCGGCGCCCGAGAAGGGCCGCCGGCACACTGCCCACGTTCTCACCCGCGCTTCTCCTCGCCATCGCTCGGGCGTCCATACCCTGTGCTTTTTCGGTTTCGTGCGTGGTGTTTTCGCCAAATTATCAAGGATGCTCCTCGATGGTCCTCGCCGAAGGAAAAATGCACACGTCCGAGCGATGCCAAGTCTCGCAAGGCTCGACGGGACAAAGGATGTACAGATGCACTGCCCCGAGAGCAGAAGTCCACACGCGCCTGCCGCCTTGCTGCGGAAACTCCTGGGCATCCCCTGCAACGCTTGCCGGATCGTGACCTCCTGCTCCTCTCCCCTGC